AGTTATCAATATATTTAGAGATCTATAAATAGGTAGCAAAACTATAAGGAAATACAAGGGAATAATTAGTATAAAATTTAGGATAACATTACTTCTGCTTGGGAGGGAGAAAGAAGGGGATTTGGGGAATGGTAACAATCTATTTCTTGGCCTGAGTAATAGTACATGGCTGTTTATTATATTGTTTAAAAATATATGTATATTATTTATATTTTTTAAACACTATTTTGCTTCTATACCATAATTCATACCCACAGAAAACCACTTTTCCCTGAGGAATCTATAAAAACATAAATTATGCCACCATCTAAGAGTGCTAAAAAAGATACTTTCTGATTCACAGCCTTCATCTAGAAAATAGATCTGATAATCATTATAAATCAGTCTCATTCAAAGTTTAAACAATATACAAATTATTGGTTTCTACCTTGCCAAATAAAGAAAAAAATGTTACGGGTTATTCAAGAAGTCAGTATCATTTAGGATAACTTTTCAATAAATACTAAAAGGAAAAAGCATGCATGCTTCTTGCACAAGCTGACTTTAGGCCTTGGGTGGGGTGGACAGCAATTCCCTTGGACGATTTACCTGATACTTAGGTCATAACTCCCGCTTAGTAGAAAGTTCTCCTCCTCACACAAGAAGAGGGTGCGGACACTCCCAGCATGGCCACGGAACTCAATGGGTAACTCCTTTACTTGTATGACATCTAGAAGTTGGATCTTCCGGTTGGATGACACTGCAACCAAATCTCCCCCAGAATAGTGAATGACTCTGTTTCGATCCCACCTGAGTTGCCAGGGGAAAAAGATGATCCATGAAAGAAGAATTAGTGTCCTTCCAGAACTCCCTTAATATGATGGCTGTCACCTGCAGCAATGGCATAAGGGAAAGCAGAAGGCACATCCCTGGTGGACCCTTACCTTACACCATACCAAAAAGTCATTTCAGGTTATAACCTAAGGACAACAGGCAAAACTATTAAAAAAAAAAAAGTAAGAAAGAAAAATCCGCTAACATATGATAAATCCCCAAGAGAGAACAGAATATGCATCATTTCCCAAACTTATTTGACCACAGAAATCTTTTTTTGTGGAAAACCTCAGAGGAACACAGCTGGGAAGCCCTATGCCAACTGCATATCCCACTGTTTTTTTCTTTTTCTTCTCTCTTAACCGATATCCAATGAGCATATATTAGGTTCAAAGTCCTGTGCTAACAGGTACCATGGGAAATACAAAGATGAATTAAGATGTGGATCTTGCCCTCAATGAGCTTACAGTCCAGGAAAACAGGGGAAGTTAAGTTAATTTTCCAATCAGAAGATTATTAGCAAGTAGATAAAATATGAGCAAGATGACCAAATCATTTATTGTCCAAAATGAGACTTTTTTATTGTGAAGGGGGACACTATTGTTAATAACTCCAGGACCACAGAGTAAAGTGGGATTATTTCAACAAACAGGGATGTAGTCATGTCTGAATATGAGAAGTGATTCTTGATATTTTCATCCTCATTCCCCTTGTTATATCTAGAGTTCAATCAGCCATCACCTCTGCTAAAGGGCATCATGCCATCCATAAAAACTCACCTTTGTCTTTCCCCTATCTGCTATGTCTTCCCCCTATTGACTGCTCAAGATGTAATTTGTAAAATAAAATTTGTAGGAATGTGACTGTAACATTCACAGTCAAAAATAAAATAGAGACAGCCTCCACAAAGCCTGATGAATAAAGAGTGAAGTCCTAGGCCCAAAGTATGGCAGAAAGTTGATTATTGGGGCGCCTGGGTGGCTCAGTTGGTTAAGCATCCAACTCTTGGTTTTGGCTCAGGTCATGATCTCAGGGTTGTGGGATCAAGCCCCGCATTGTGACGGACTCCATGCTTAGCGGGGAGTCTGTTTGGAATTCTCTCCCTCTCCTTCTGCCCCTCCCCCCACTTGGGCTCATGCTCATTCTCTCTCTCAAATAAATAAATAAATCTTGGGGCGCCTGAATGGCTCAGTCATTAAGCGTCTGCCTTCGGCTCAGGTCATGATCCCAGGGTCCTGGGATGGAGCCCCGCATTGGGCTCCCTGCTCAGCAGGGAGCCTGCTTCTCCCTCTCCTGCTCCCCCTGCTTGTGCTCGCTCTCTGAAATAAATAAAAATCTTTAAAAAAATTTTTTTAATAAATAACATTTAAAATAAATAAATAAATAAAAGTTGATTATTGAAGGTCCTTCTATGGCATATACAAGGGATATCACACCATGCAGTTATCATAAATACCATCTTCATATTTAACATGGAAAGATACCCACAGTACTTTGCTGGAGCGGGTTACAGAAATATGTACAGCATAACCCAATTTTTAAAGACTTTATTTATTTGAGAGAGAGAGTGTGAGAGAGAGAGAACACAAGCAGGGGAGAAGGGGAGAGGGAGAGGGAGAAGCAAACTCCCTGTTGAGCAGGGAGCCTGACATACGACTAGATCCTAGGACCCTGGGATCATGACCTGAGTCGAAGGCAGATGCTAAACTGACTAAGCCACCCAGGTGCCCCATAACCCCATTTTTATTTAAAATTTGTAGGTAGGGGTGCCTAGGTGGCTCAGTTGGTTGAGCGTCTGCCTTCAGCTCAGGTCATGATCCTGGGGTCCTGGGATCGAGTCCCGCGTCGGGCCCCCTGCTCAGTGGGGAGTCTGCTTCTCCCTCTACCCCTCCCCCTGCTTGTACTTATGTACTCTCTCTCTATCTCAAAAATAAATACATAAAATCTTCAAAATAAAATAAAATTTGTAGGTATATATGCAAAGAAAATTCTAGAATATAAACATACATGAATATTAATATAATGAATATTAATTCATGTATTGATATACATGAAGATTATAGGAGGTCTTTGCTTTTCTGTATACATTTTCCGGCATTTGGTGGATTCCTTCTCCACAATAAGCATATATTACTTCTAAAATTAGAATAAAACAATAAAAATATCTCCAAAAAAAGGAATGCTTTCATGCATGTAACTCGTATGAAAGACTTGTTGATCAGTATACCCAAAATTATAACGGAAGATGTCCTCTACCCACTGCAGAGAATGTTGTCAACATCCAGCACTATTCTCCGAAGGGGATCTCATGTTCATGGGTGCTGGAGCTTGAGGGGAGGAAGGATTGCCTTTCCAAGTAAACAGGGTCATGGGAATCCTAAAGACGCCTAAAGTGTGGGTAATTCAAGGGTCCCTGAAGACCTGGATTCTGACCCCGGTACCTACGTGTCAGAGAGAATGCGGATATTATAAGTCCCACAGAAGACATTTCTCTCCTCCATCTGGACCTGCTGAGTTTCCTGGTTCTGGTATGCGGCCCACAGGTTGTAGTCATTCTAACAAGGGAACACTCGGAGTCAAACCAAAGTGGCAACTCTAACCTGGACCCCAAACATGCACCCCCTAAGGTCTTCCCGGGCAGGGACATAAGGGCCCAAGGATTCTTCCTCTTTGGGCTATGACTGCCACTAGGTGTGGGTAGGGAGGGGCCCATGAGCAGGCCCTAAAGAATCCACGGACAGTCAAGGGTCCTGACTCGTCCTCCATCTCTGTATGTTCTGTGTGTTCTGGTTCCATGAACTTTCGAGGTCGGTGATCGCTCAGCTTTTCCAAAAATGAGCTCACAAAGGGTAATGCTTACAAAATAAAGTCACAGGGGCCCTCTAACGGGCTATTTTGCAGAAGTTGGGGCTTCGTGGGCATATTGCATATACCTGACAGTACAGAGCATACTAGTGGGAACTCAAGCCCTATGTGAAATCACAGCTGCACGCTCTACGCACTTGTGCCTTGAAGTCTACACACAGAGGCAAGCTTGACTTCTCCTTACAGCTGCCTCATGAAGTACATCATTTGCCCCACGAAGTATTCTCATCGTTTTACAGATGAGATATAGCTGAGCCTCAGAGAGAAGAAGTCAATTTTATCAAGTCTCAACAGGGGTGTTTTCCTTCCTCTTTTAAGAGTTTCTTCCTTCCTTCTTTCCTCCTCCCTTCCTTCCTTCTTTCCTCCTCCCTCACTCCCTCCCTTCCTTCCCCCATCCCTCCCTCCCTCCATGACACACGTTCTGAGACACTATGGCATGCCAGACATACTAAATTCTGGCCCAGATGACTCAACCAGGCTCTCAGTTTCACTCCTCTTTCTGGCCATATTCTTCAAATAATAGGAAATGACAACCATGCTAGCAGGAAACCAAAAAACAGTGTGAGTTTATCTTGAAAGCAAAGAAAACCACAGCATCATGTTTGGACCTGGGAGCCCTCCTGGGAACATCTCTTCAAAGTCTCCTTCCTACTTAGCCTTCACCATGCCCGTTGACTCTTCCTTGGGACACCTGTTTTTCTCGGCTCAACCTCCTTCTTGATCTTTAGCCCAGTAGTGATGTCCACCTTAGGAGCCTCTCCCCAGAATCTGTCAACCTTCCTCCCCTTTAATGTCCAAGCAGCTCCGATATCCTGCCTTGAATTAATCAAGACTTCCTTGGCTTCTCACGCCTGGGCTGGAAGTCCTTGGCTCTTGGTCATCAGCTAAGTTTTGAGAGCCTAGAAGCTCCGTGGTGTAGTCATTGGGAGGAAAAAGACCTGATTCAAATCCCAGCTCTGCCACTGACCAGCTAAGAGACATTTGGCAAGTTCTCGAATCTCACAGCCTTCATTTCCACATCCAGAAACTGGGATCAGTGATGTCCACTCGATCTACAGTGAAGATCAAGTGAATGATGTATACAAAGCCCTTGGCACCATGCCTGGCACACCATTCAGCCTCAGGACCCATGGCAATCACCAGCCCAGAGAAGCACTCACCTATACCTTTCGCTAGCAGACCCCTTAACTGCCTTGTCTTGTTCCTTCACATTTCTCGTCTCTTGTCCATAGGGCTTTACCTGTTTCTCTCTCTTTTCTTAAATTAGAACATTTCTATAATATCAAATGCTGCTTGGGTGTCCTTTTTTGTCAGGCAATTACTAGCTATGTCACCTAAACAAGAAGGGTTATACTTAGAGCAACAAGCTTGGAAAGAGCGGGTCAGCGTCCAACTTGTATCTCTGTCACTCTGTCTGGGAGACCTGAAACTCTCTGTGCCTCAGTCTCTTCATCTGTAAAATGAGTGAATGGGCCAACTCACAGATAAAAAATTGCAGGTCAAATGAAGTCCGCAAATGTGTTTTCTTTGGCCCCCACAGTTTAAAAAAAAAAAAATGCTTTTAATTGGTTGCCCGCGTTTAAGGAAAACAAGAGATGTCACAAGATAATTCAGATTTCTAACTTCTCTTGAAAGCTCAGATGGCTGGGGAGGTTGAGGTCCCACGGTCTCCCACGGCAATAATTCGCCGGAGCTGAGTAGCAACTGGCCCCTTCAGATGGGGAGGGAACTCTCCAGCTCATGGTGGTTCTGTCACACCCACTCACACTACCAACCTCCCTCATTCCTGTGACCTGTCTTCCTTCTACAGACACATGAACTAGATGGTCGCTCTGGTCCCTTCTACCCCTCAAATTCTAATTCATACTACAGTTTCCATATGAGAAGCTACAGTCTGGCCACCCCTCATTAAGTATCCTTTTGGGGCCCACTGAAGAGATTTCGAAAGAGAAGGCCCTTGAGCAGAGAGGAGGGGGCAAGGATCTGATGGCTTTAGGAATGACCACCATGCCTGGGTAGGCTATATAGAGAGCTCAGAGTCTTTCATCGGCTCTTCATCGTTGTCTGAGATTTGGTAGGGAGGTTTATGGTTAAGTAACTCCCCCCTTCATTCCTAGAACCAGAATAAACCTGGAAGTGAGAGGGGAGAAAGCTTAACTCATTCGGGACCCTGGACACTCTGGACCCGCCCCGGCCCTCACATTCCTGAGCCACAGACTCTTGCAGCCTCTGGATAGGTGGACTGATGGGTGCTGAGGAAAATCCCAGCTATCACGGACAGCCACTCATTTCACAGATGAGGAATTTAAGGCTGAAGTAGAGGACGTCTTTGCTTAAGGACACACAGCAGAGAACTCTGGTCTCCCTTAGGGACTGTCACCTCCTAGACGCTAAATCCATATGCTATATCCTCTATCCTCCCATTTCCTCTCCCTTCATGTGACAGCTGAGTCTGGACTCCAGCATGGCTAAGGAGAACAGGACATCACAGTGACTTGCCCCAGATGCCACAACCACCCACCTTTATTCTCAGTTTCCATTTCTGATTTTTCACACGCATGCACTTCCCGTTATCGGTTATTTTAGGAACCGGGACAAAAAGCCTGTTGGCATAATTAGGATCAATTCCTTTTGTGTAGGATCCCTGAGGGAAAACATAAACAGATAATGGTTATTACTCTTGGCCCTTATGCTCCAAGAGGAGGGGGAAACTAGTACTTGGCAAGATCTGAAAGGTGGGTCAAGTCTGGCGAAGGAAGGCCCAGGCCTGGCCCGTTAGGCTGGTAGTGTGCGCAGATTGGTGTGGGGTGGATGATGAATACCAAATACATAGAGGGACGCCAGCAGGAAATGGCCAGCAGTCCTCAGCTTCCCAGAGGATGGCCCGCCTCACAATGCCTGCCCCTTCCTATCTTTGGTTATCTACGTCTGCTGGGAAAAACTCAAGCTACCAGGAACCCATGATGTAGGGTAAGGCTTCAGGCAGGAAACAGAAGTAAAAATGTCAGAGATGGATACTATTCCAGGAGAATGGCAACTGGACCCAAGAACACGCTTTTTGATCTTTGAAACATCTGTGTACCATATGAGGAGGCTCCAGGAACATACTCATGGCCCTCCTACTGCAAAGCCAGAATATAGCTCTCTGGGGAAAACAATTCCCCTCTCTGTGAGGTTTCAGAAAGACTCTGCCTCTCTCTTCCTGAGAAGTTTCTATATATGCTGTCCCTGCTAGGGGTGATTAACAGGGAGACCAGACACAGAGGAAGCGACTACTGAAGCCTACAAAGCAGCAAACATGGAGCAAAGGCCAACTAAGAGTCTACGGAATAGACCAGAAAGGCCCCAAATCAGGCTAAGTCCAACACGAAAATGAGGCCGGTCTCCAGACCGACCTGTCCCAGACGGGAAGTACCTGCAAGAAGGTAATATGGCTCTGAATGAAAGTATGCATCGACAGATCCACCTTGACCTGCTGCACCAGCATGGCCCAGTGCTGGCTCACGGAGGCACACCTGTTCAGGTTGTTTTTATCCAGCATACCTGGGAAAAGAAAAAAAAAAAAAAAAAACATGGACCTGGGAACCTCCCAGCCGAGCCAGGATGCACAGCGTCTCAAGAAACCCCCCCAGTACAGGCCAGCATACTTAGAATATATTTGGAGAGGTGGATGGGCAGGTAATGGATGAAGTCCCGGTATTTGCTAACCCCGGAAGACAGGTCTTTGACGACATCCAAATCAACCAACAGATCGGAGGGGGTGTATTCTGCCTTCGACAGGTCTGCTTTTCTGGAAAACAGCCTATTCATCTCGGAAATACACTGGATCGAACTCTTCCATTGTCCTTCTAGAGGAAAACCAGAGAAAGGTGCAGCATAGAGTTGATTCTATGGTAACTCCTGGCCAAGAGAAGCCCTCAGCAAACCCTCTCCCCAGAAATAGAGCTCATCGGAATCCACCCTTAGACCACTGGATTTTTGTCTTTCTTCTGCCAAACTGGAAATAATAACCTCCCCAACCAAATGCATGAGGGCTTTTCAGCCTTCCCAGTTCAAGGAGACACCTATAGTAGCAAAGCCTGCCCCACTCAGTTTGAAATGGCCTTGTGCCTGGAATTTCCTTAGAATACCCCAAGGAAAAAACAAATTTAAACAATTTTGTAAAGAGGCAAATGGATGACATGAATTAGTCTAGTGTTGACAATTACTGAAGTTGAGGGATGGTTATGTGCGTAGTGATTACACTGTCTTATCTGTTTATGAAATCTGGAAGTTTCCAGATAAAAAGTGCTTGAGAATCGATGCTTTGTGTTTCTTGTAATTACATCACGTAGAGATTTCGCTTCACAAACCAACTCAGGAGAGCCTTGAGGTTAGGCCCCAGTTCCCCCTACTGCTTTTGTCTCCTCCTCAAGACTGAATCCAATGCTATAAAAAATAGGCGTTGGTGGGCTGACTTCTAGAGGTGCCCACCATGCCAAAAGGTCAGGGGTCAGATGAGGGATGGTGTTGCAGGGCAGAGGGAGACTCCAAAGGAAACCCTTTGATAGTTTCCTTTCTGAGCTCTATTTTCAGGTGTCTCTCAGAGGCACCAAGATGGAGAAGTGAAAACATGGACTTTAAGGTGATAATGACTGCCTTTAATTCTTGCTTCTCCCGTACTGGATGTGGGATTCGATGATGTCATAAGGATCAGTGAGCCCAACACACTGTTGGTGCCAGATGAACATTCATGTCCAAAATCTGCCGCCCCCAGATGCTACTGCCCTGTGCCCACCACTCCAACCCCATCGGGACTTCCCAATCTCCTATCTATTAGCTTTCTTGCTACAAGCTGACTTACCAGTATTAGATGCCTCAACTCCCATGTTTTCAAGCGACTTTTCTTTTTCTGAAGCTCTGGACGAAGGGAAGGATGCGTTCTTGGTGCTAGCTGCCCAGAAAACATCTGAGGTCTCACACTGCGCATTGTCGTCTTTCTCAGGAAAGAAAAACACATCACTAGTGTCTTGATCGAGGCCTGAAAAGCCAATGGCCAAGACAAGGTTGCCCTCTAAGCGGGGGTGTGAAGGAAAGGAGGTGAGACCAACACTTTAATTTCTACTAGCTTCTCTTCAATCTACATGAAACGGACCAGGCTAGTTATATCTGGTTTTTCAGGGGGGTGGGGAGGGGGCTTCAGAGTTTCTATACAAAAATTGCAGAAAGGGGCGCAATGGGTTTAGTGTCTGCCTTCGGCTCAGGTCATGATCCCAGCAACATGGGATCAAATCCTAGGAAGGCATGGGCTCCCTGCTCGGCGGGGAGCCTGCTTCTCCCTCTCCCACTGCCCCTGCTTGTGCTCTGTCTCTCTCTCAAGTAAACAAATAAAATCTTAAAGAAAGAAAAAGCTTTAAAAAAATACAAAAAAATAAATGAATAAATGCCTGATAGTTACAAGTTCTGTACTTCCTTCTGTGTGTGCATTTTATACTTTTCTAGAAGGAAGTCACGGCCAATTTCTCCTTCGGTAAACAGGACTGCAGGTAAGCACAAGGAACTCTATCCTGCATTCTGGAAGATCCCCGTCTACCTAAGCTTGTCCACACCCTGGTTCCTTTACAGGCTCCCGAAGTCCGGCTTCCTAGTCCACCTGCGGCCTCTTTACCTGCCACACTGTTCTGCTGTCTCAGAAACAGACCTCTGATGACATTGGCAGCCATGAGCAGTAGCTTGGGCTCGCACATCTGCAGCAGCAAGAGCGTGTAATTTGCCTTGGTCCGGTGGGTGCTTCTCCCAAACCAGTACAGCATCTCCCTCATCTTCTGTTTTACGGTTTTATCCAATATCTGGTTCAAGGAAGACCTGACGATTTTCCCCTCCTTCCTGCTGAGGTTGATCCGGGACCGGCTGTAGATGAAATCCTTCCCCTGCGTGGTCTGAAGGATATTCTGAAAATAGTGCAGCAAATAGAAGCTATCCAGCTGCTCCAGGATGCTCACTAGAAACCTCCTCTGGGGCACCTCTCCGACCCTCCGGAACCACTCTTTGGTAGAGAAGATCTTCCAAGCCAAGACACATGTTTCGCACTTTTGGCACACAGGGACAGAACTGTCTCCCTTCTCACAACAAAAATAGGGGGCATTCCTGAGCCTCGGGTCCAGGTTTTCCATGATCCTGAGATGACCAGCTCATTCTATCCTTGCCCGTTGTCAACCCCACTACGCACCAGAGGTACAGGAGAAGCTGATAGATATCCCAGTTGAGCCTTTTCTATTATAAACATTTCCCAGAGGAAAGGTAGACCCCTGCGTTGGATGGAAAGCTGATCTCTCCCAGAAACTGCCAGTAGAAGTCTGGCTTTTTGTACTGACCTCCTAGGAAACATGGCTTTTACCGTAAATCTCCTAAACCGGGCACTGCTTAGCTGGAGGCAGTTGCTGTATATTCTGAAAGAGCTGGTCATCTCATTTCTAGAACAACAAGAATAGTGTTAGTCAAATTTAATACGTGGAACCCTCTTAACGGAAAAAAAAAATCCCAGAGCCTGGTGTTGTATATATATATTAGCCTGGTGTTGAGCTTCAATTGTTATTAATGACTTGTAAATGTAAATGTAATTGTTCATGATGTATTTCTTACATTTACAGTTGTTGGGCTATAAGGTGGCTATCCCAATGATGCTGAATATGTTTATATTCATTTTCTAAACTCATCGTCGAACTGAAAACACAAATGCTTAATATGAACATAAGTCTTTTTCACTGCTTCGGAATGCTAACCAGAAACCTCTGCTGGGAAGCCCTCCTTCGTGGAAAAATTTCTCTCAGCCTCAATCACACACACGAGCATGTGTGTCTGGGAGGCAGTACAGTGACTGAATTCGGGGCGGGGCGGGTGCTGCCTGGGGTGCATTAAATTGAACACAACCCAAGGAAGTGTTTGAGAGCAAAGAACTTTTGATTACTTGATGGAAGTAAGGAGACAGGGAGATCGCTCTCAAAGCACCGTCTCTCCGTGGGGTGAGGACAGAGAGCTTTTATTCAGTGTATTAGGGGGCAGGGGCAAGGAGCTTGCATATACATTAAGGAATTTATACATATTCTATTACTTGGGCATTTCGGTTCAATTGCTCAGACCAAGCCCATCCACATGCTAGTGCATAGATTATGTCCAAAAAATGGCAGAAAATTCCAACCATAGGGGGTGATCTTATTATAACGAGCTAAAGGTAAGTTCAGGACAAGTTGGGGGGGGGGGGGGGGGGGTGGGGGGAGTCTGTACAGATCTTCTAACCAAGTGGAGAAGAGTGAGGGGTCCGGGGTCAGACTCCTGGGTTTGGACCCCAGCCCAGCTGCTTACATAGCTCTGTGTACACGAGCATATTACTTAATCCCCTATGCCTCAGTTTCTTCATCGTAAAACAAAGGCAACAATAGTTTGTACTTCAGAGTCAGTTTTGGGGAGGGATTAAATGAGATCCTATATGCAAAGCATTTAAAAGATCACCTGTTACATACTCAGCCCTTCATGAGTGCTAACTCTTGTCCTCTTGTCGTTGTCATCATGGGTGTCATTGGGATCGTTTTCCAGGCAGCCTTAAGTAATCAATGCCCGCTCCAATCTCTACACATGTGTACGTACATACATTGAGATGCATGTAAGAAAATGACCCTATGCGTGCATGGTTTTTAAAAGAATAATGACAAAGGAGCACCTGGGTGGCTCTAGAGTCTAACTCTTGATCTCAGCTCAGTTGGGCTCCAAGCTGGGCGTGGAGCCTATTTAAACAAACAAAAAAAAAAATGACATGAAATATGGTGTACCTATTTCGTGAAGTCTTTATACCATTTGCCGTGGCTTATGATCCATTCAGGAGTGATGACTTGGGACGTTAAAGCCAACCCTCTGATGCACGTGTTCCCTCAGGTTCCCAAACAGAAGGCTTCTGCTCTCACTTATAACCCAGAAAGAGACCGGGGGCTCGGTGGGCTTTTCAAACATTTTGAACAACAAAATCCTATTAGCAAATCATATCTTCTGTAAAAGCTCAATGTAGAACGTAGACAAAAGTGACGTTATATTAGCATAAATCTATGTTGTAAGTTCAAAGTTCACTTGTTAGCAAGGCAATTATGGAGAGCAATGTGGCTATTCTGATAAAGACAAAACCTGGAGACCTGAAGTTAACGATGACAGACACACCGGGCGCCGGGGTGGCTCAGTGGGTTAAGTGTCCGACTCTTGGTTTTGGCTCAGATCATGATCTCAGACTCATGAGATCGAGCTCTGTGCTGGAGCCTGCTTAAGAGTCCCTCTCTCCCGGGGCGCCTGGGTGACTCAGTCATTAAGGATCTGCCTTCAGCTCAGGTCATGATCTCAGGGTCCTGGGATTGAGCTCTGCATTGGGCTCCCTGCTCGGCAGGAGGCCTGCTTCTCCCTCTGCCACTCCCACTCCCCCTGCTTGCAGTCCCTCTCTCGCTGTGTCTCTCTGTGTCAAATAAATAAAATCTTAAAAAAAAAAAAAAAATTCCCTCTCTCCTCTCCCTCTGCCCCTCCCCACTCTCTCTCAAAAAATAAAAAAATACAGCTTCCTTCTAGGATTAGATCAGATGTGTGAGCCCAGTTGTCACTGCTCTTATTGTTGTTATAATGATTTCCCTAGATTAGGCCAAAATGTTTGCAGTAACTGAGCATTTTTGGTGCCCGCGTTTGGAGACCAGGCACAGTTAGAGAAAGGTATTGGATACCATTGGCTGGCTTGGTGGCAAAGGCAGTCTCCCACAAGGGTCGGGGTTGGGGACAGGAATCAGGCTGGGAAGGAGATCAGTTCTAACAGCTCAGCCTCTTCTGTCTTGATTAGCATCTGGAGAAAAGGTGAAAGTGGGTTAGCATCTAAACTCCCGGGGAAGCCAGGCAGAGGAGCGTGGCCAGGAATAAGAGTGCCCATTCTCAGAGGGCTTGGGTGTATAAGCAGGAGACGCACTACCCCTAGAACTGCTACAAACAGAAGGTAGCTTGTGTTTTTTTGTTTTGTTTGTTTTTAGAGAGGGAGAGAGAGAGTGAGGTGGGGGGGTGGAGAGAGGCAGAGGGAGAGAAATTCTTAAGCAGGCTCCACACCCAGCACGGAGCCTGATGCCGGGCTCCATCTCACGACCCCGAGATCATGACCTGAACCGCAATCAAGAGTCAGACGCTTAACTGACTGAGCCACCCAGGTGCCCCTAAAGTGTTTTGTTTTTGAAGGTCCAAATTAATCAGTCCAAATTAATCAGACATACATCAAAGCAGTTTTATCCACCCAACTCAGTCTTGATTCCATGCTGAGGGCCACCTGTGGCCCCATGGAGGGCCTGGCTGGGACCCCATTACTGCTCCTTACTAGCTATGTGATCTTGACAAAGCTACTCATGCCTGTCTGAGCCCTCATTGTCTTATCTGTAGAAGATACATAATCCCCACCCTGCAGGGTGTTGTACTATGAGGACTACATTAATTAAAGTAGGTGAGCATGGAAAGTACTTCTGCTTCCTCTCCATTCCACTCACTACCCCTACACACACACACACACACACACACACACACACACACAGCATCTTACCTGCAAGGTGACCGGATGGGATAAGCCAACAGTGGGGAACTGGCACCACGGGTCCCCAACAAGGCTGGCAGGCAAATAGGTCTCATCAGACTTAAGACCCAGAAGAGGAAAACAGTTCTCAAAGGCTTTGGGGCTGGGAAGCCCACCTGGGGATTTCTCAAATATCCAGGCTACCAACAGCCTGGAGGCTTCATGCCAGTCCCCCAGCTGTCCTTTCTGCCCTGTGTTCTTCACAACTCTGATTAAACCGTCTTCCCACGTGGCCCCAGTCTCTACTTCCTTTTCCCACCCTCTCGCGCAGTTTGGAGAACCCCAGAGGGTACGGCTGCTTCACCCCACCCAGCTCTTCTGCCTTAGCTAACATTGCACCCACAGCCACCTGCCCGGCTCAGCTAGCAAGAAGTCAGGAAAGGGCTCGGGGGCCTGAGTAGGAGGGTGTGGGCTGAAACCAGGCTGTGTTACAACCAGCTGCATGTCCCTCAGTAATTCCCTTGCCACTACGGGCCTGCTCCCCTTCTTTAAATGGAGATCGTACTTCTGCCTAGCTCACGGGTGAGTGTCAGGGTCAAATGAATGGATGCATTTGAAGGGCATCTTATAGTGTGTGAAGAACTATACCAGTACTGATATCAGGGAAAGCGGGGGAAACTCACATTTTATCCTCACCTCCGCATCACGCGGCTTTACAAAGTTAATTGAGCAAAGTTTCTGTTCCTAAGAAGTCCGTGAATTTCCAGGCTGCCGAATTGCCCTTTGACTTTGAAAGAAGCAGGTGGAAAACAAGGGCATTGGCTAGAAATGTTTTATTATCCACAAAGGGGAGAACCAAGACAAGCATGGAAAAGTTTGAAACCTCGCTAAAATAGCTGAATCCCCAAGGAGATAGGGCACCCCCTGGGGTGGCCAAAAAAGGCTTCTGCTTATACTAACACTAGCAGGCGCTTGCTATTTGTAGTTGAAGAGCAGAGCAGGTTAAGGAGAAGAGATAGATGTAAGCCTGTGGTTCTCAAACTTCCATGGGCTTCAGAATCCCCTCAAGGCCTTAATAAACCAGACTGCTGGGTGCCTGGGTGGCTCAGATGGTTAAGCGTCTGCCTTCGGCTCAGGTCATGATCCCAGGGTCCTGGGATGGAGTCCCGCATCGGGCTCCCTGCTCCTTGGGAGCCTGCTTCTCCCTCTGCCTCTCTCTCTCTCTCTCTCTTTGTCTCTCATGAATAAAAATAAATAAAATCTTTAAAAAAAATAAAAAAATAAACCAGACTGCTAGGCCTGACCCCCAGAGTTTCTGATCCCTAAATCTAGGCTGGGAGCCCAAGAATTTACATTTCTTTTTTCTTTTCTTAAGATTTTATTTATTTCAGAGAGAGAGAGAGCACAAGACGGGGGGAGGGTCAGAGGGAGAAGCAGACTCCCCGCTGAGCAGGGAGCCCTTCGGCTCAGGTCATGATCCCAGGATCCTGGGATAGAGCCAAGAGCCCAACGTCCTCAGGCTCTCTGCTCAGCGGGGAGCCTGCTTCTCCCTCTCCCTCTGTCTGCCGCTCCCCTTGCTTGTGCTCTCTCTTTCTCTGACATATAAATAAATAAAATCTTAAAAAAAAAAAAATCAAGCTTGAAACTGACTGAATCGAAGATGGGGCCAGGATGCAGAGAGGAGGGCCTGGGAAGTAGAGCTGGAAGAAAGGATGACACAGGTTTTATGGAAACTTCTGGAAGCATGTTGTAAGGCTGAG